TCAAGGTGACAGCCTTTCTCCGCTGTTGTTCGTTTTATGCATGGACCCATTGAGCCGTAGGCCAAGTATCACATACCCAAAGATGGAGAGGTCCCCACCGACCAAGGAATGCATGTAACAACCATTAATTATTTGTGGATGATCTCAAACTCCTTGCTGCCAACGAGGATGTCATGAAAGCTATGGCCGAAGAAGTCCACAAGTTCTTTGAAATAGTAGGGTTAGAGGTGAATCCAACAAAGTTAGCCACTAATGCTGAGGTATGCGCTGATAAGGTGGTACTCTTGGAAGGAACTCAAGGGTAAAGGATAGGACTAGCACTTCGACTCGAAAAAGCTACGATAAAGTGCAAGCAGAGATTTTGGCGATAATTAGACGACCAGCCAAAACTGCCCTAAACGGCAAGAACTTTATAAAGGCAGTAAATGAGTACGCCATAGGATTAATATATTATTACACTGAGATGCCCAAACTGGAACCAGAAGACTTCTGAGCAACTGACCATGGTATCAGACAGTTACTAATTAAGTACGGAATTCACATCCAACCTGCATGTTTAATGAAATTGTAATTGCCACGTGGGCTTCATTGCGTAGAACAAAGAGTTTATGCTTCTGCAATAACATACTTGTAGAAAGTGCGCCAATATCTACCAGGAGGGTACCAATTTTGAAGCAGGAAAAGACTCACAACACATACCTAGCAGTTATTGTGCCCTAGCTTCAGACTTAATACAATCTCGTAGAAAATCCAAACTGTCGAAAACGTATTAGCAGCTCAGTAACCCCTCCTGTAAAGCGAAATGAATAAGAAAACTCATCATGCAAAGCTACACAAGATGCTCAGAAATGAGCTATTCTCAATGTCAAATTCACCATTGTAGCTACGAATTGGAAATATTACCCACAGGATGATACGCAATACTGTCATCTCCAAGACAAAAATATGTTTGTAGCTGAGAAAAGTATGTGCCCACACTGTAAGGAACGTGTGAAGACGGTGCACCATCTAGCAACGCAGTGTGAGAAAATGCTATATTACTGCATTAGAAGACGCAATGAAGTCCTGCAATGTATTATTTAGGACTCTGCAAAAAGCATACGCTAGCGCATGCGAAGCCATTCTGGTCAGAGGTCGTCGCGAATGAGAACGTAGAGATTTAGAGTTGATACGTGAGTGAGAACTGCAGATAGAATAAAAGCGGACTGACCGCATATCATGATACACGATAAGAAGCGACGTGAAGTAATCTGACTGAAGTTGGCATCACTAATCATCGCACGTTGATAAGAGCAGAAACCAAGAAGCGAAGGTATGATTTACTGGCTAATAAACTCCATACAGAGGATGGCATGCAGAATGAAAATTTCGCATGTGATGATTCGGGATGGGATAGTGACAAACTTCCACAGTCGTTATGCAAAAGAAATCAGTATGTCTGAATATGTTGGGGCATATATCCAATCAATAGTGCATAAGAAAACGCCTGAAATCATCTCATTCGATCAGCGCCGTAGATTCGACGAGGATGAAGGAGCGGAGATCAGCACAGCAAAACTGAGCACTGGGCAAATGCAGCAAGAATGCAAGAATATGATCCACTGCCAGAATCATTAATAAAAAAAAGAGTAACGTCCGTGATATTGATAAATGAATAAATAAATAAATATATATATATATATAACGATGATCGTGACTACTTTTATAGAGCTTGAAAAGCAAACAAAAGTGTTATGTTGACAGCTGACAATGCAGAAATGCAGAAACTATGAAAGGAAACGAAGATAACACTGTTTACTGACGACCAATGATCAATTGCTTATGTAATTTGTCCTATACTATCAGGTTTTTTTTTTTGTTTTTTATTAAAAAATAAAAAAAACTTTCATTAGTTTTTGAGAAAAACAAAAGCCCAAATCACATTACAATAAAAATCAACCAGTGTGTTATAAAATTTAAAAGTACAATATTTAGAGACATCCTGATATTTTTCGCTTCAGTACAATACGTAACTGATAAGCTAATCTCTAATAGTACAAAGAAAAATACAATATTCGTAATGAACATGAACATTAAATATAATTATTATGATGAATGCATTTACTATTCAAAAGTTGTTTATGATTTTTGGAAGAACCTGCACTTGTTCTTCAAAATTACTCGCTTTCAAAAGCATTTTTTTAATGACCAAGGGCTTCAACTAATAGCTTTGATAAAGATATATGAAACCACATTGAGGGAAATGAGTATGCATATTACGATAAAAAATGTAAGACCAATTTTGAAAGATTTAGGAAATTTCAACTTACCAGAGGGTGAAGAACCAATAGATCGTGCTAATGAAGACTGCACAAGCCAATCCATAAAAGTATCTAACATTCGAGACACTTTTGGTTGACGTTCACCAATATATGGCTTATGAACTCTGTTACCTGAATCAATACTTGTAGATAATGCCCTTAATTATGAATAGAAATAAAGAAACTACGATCCTAATTCAACTTAGTGTTCAAGATTAAAATCAGTTAGTGAGTTGTATTCATGTATTTTAGAAAACATTACTTTTTTCATTTCTATCAAAATATATTTTAGTAAAAAGGAATTACTATGTAAATAATGCCAGATAAACTGAGCTGAATTCGGTTTAGGAACCCCTGGTGACGCTTCTTCTGCAGAACTTGCAGCAGGTGATGGCATTGACATATTAACAGCCAAAGAACGTTCTGAGGTCAAAAAATCACAGAATTAATTCGATGCAACTAAATAATCCTTATAAATTAAAAAAACAAAAGTTTAAATAACGACCAAAATTTAGTCATGATATAAAGACTGAAAATCTCTACACGAATTTAATCTCCAGTGACTAGTTTTTTTTTCTGTTTACTGATTGCACACATCAGTTTTTGCTTTAAACCAAACACATGCTAATTGATCTTATTAAAAAAATTGATCAATACAACTTCAATTCGAAAGACTAGCTTTCAATCACTTTAAACCATGGATAAAACTTGATAAGTAAGACAGTCATTTAATTGTACAAAAATTACCGGACATTGCTCGACTCTTTGAAACAGTGACAACGTTGAGAGCGTTTTTCAAGCCAATACCAGTTACACCACTTATTCCTGTATTTGAGTAAGCGGCTGTTAATGTAGCGCTGTCGCCAGCCGCATTAACGGAATGGCTTGAGCCATGTGTAAGTGTCTGAAAGTGATAGTTCTTTACGACAACACAATCAAATAATTTGAAAATAGATATCATAACTTTGCGGAATTTCAATGAAATAGTAAATGTTATCATTCTGTCTAATAAGTTTGAAATGATGCAAAACTGTATACTTTTAGCGCCCGGTAATTAAAAAAGAGAAATATATAAAAATAAGATTTAAACGTGTTTTGCTGCTGCATGACCTGATGATGATGTTTTACCCAGTCCTCATGAACAGACCGATTTAAATCAGACCACTGCCTCAGCAACTCATCGGATTCCCGAAAATCAATAGTTACATGACTGTCTCCTATAAGTTCTTTGTTTTAAAACTTTGATATACACTCCGTTTTTTTAAATATAATACTCATAAGTATTCAGAGCATACACGCACGAAATATAGCTCCCGTCTTAAGAACTAGAATAGCTTAGATTATCATTAATAATTAAATGAGATTAACCACGTATTAATTAACTAACCATAAAATACATCGACCAATTTCATGACAGCTGCAGAAGTCATAAAGAAACATCGTTTCAAACAACTGGTAGTAAATTCTGTAAGTTCTTGATTGAAACTTACAGTCAATGGGTTTCCATCACCATCCATTGCACCATCTACAAACTTCATTAAGAATAAATTTGTAATAAAAACTACACTATCTAAAAAAATGTTTGCCACGAGCATTTATTCTAGTAAATAAAAAATATTATTGTTTTATCAATAATAAGCCATTTAAACAAATAAAACAAGTAATAAATTGAAAAAAATTAATCTAATATACAATTATTACAATACCTTCGTAAAGAATACATTTTAAATCATCATTATAACAGTAATTGAAATTAAAAATTCTTCAAACAACGTTAAAAAACCAAATCTGGAAATGGTTTAGTATACCGTCCAATACTTTTTTATTTTGCAAGGAAAAATGTCAGAAAAGTAGAATGCAATTTCACCAGTAACCAAAATGGCGCTGAGCAGATTTGATGGAAGTGTTTCGCTTGTGCGAGGTTCAAATGAAATGATTGATGCCGGATTACCGACCATATGCATGAGTTGAAACCAACATATGTGTAATATTGGTAAAGTATCATCATTACTAGACGTACTTTTTTTTTCTTTCGCGAATAATTGTACTTCCTCATCTACTGAAAACTTAGTTATTATATGTCAGAAATAAATTTATTACGAAATGAAACCTTAGAATATGCTCAGAAAAAACTTTACCAGTACATGATCTTTTTGTTTACGTTACAATTTCCTTTCGCAAAAATTTTTAATCAAATGATAACAAGCAATTGATAACATATAATTGCAAATAATGGAACAACAAATGGATAATAATATCAAAAATGAAAACTTGTTGATGTAGTCAACCAAGTTTTTCGATGGAATCAAATCTCAATTTCAAAAAAAATTTTTTAACAACTGGCCTATAATAATCGGACAATATCTTTCCCCGTATATTTCTTGAACAATTATTACCGATAATGAAAGGACTTTTCTCGCCCAGTTCTCAATGAAGCTCACCTAAAAGGTTTGAAAACTTGAGTAAGTTTCCAATGTCTTGACTTGCATAATATAAGTGCTTTGAATGAGCACTTTCAACACTTTAAATGATTACTTGCAAGTTAACATTGCAGACACATTAATTCTTGTACAATACTACATGATATTACCAAGCTTAACTAAGAGTAGAATAGCTTAGAAATCTAGCAAAGTGAAAAGATGAAGTACAAAAACCTGATGTCGCCATCGTTTACTTAAAACGGATAGCGTTTTCCAGTATGCTGGAGATGGCATATGCTCCAAACGCGCAGCACACAAAAATCCGTCCAGCAGTGTCTTTGTAACTTTAGGTGCCATAATCGTTGCAATATCATCTACAGATTCTTCAACTTCAGATATTCATGGAATTTTTTTCTTTACATGCAAATTTTTTCAATACAAGAGAAGACAAATTCCTAGCTTTAATCGATTCCATGTTCGTTAATTGCAACATGCACTACTTAACTGCTAGTGCTGACACTTCTAATGACCAAACGACATATTTTAAAATGATAAAAATAGAATGTCCAAAGATAATAAGTATCAGCAATGCAAATTCAACGACCACTGGTTAAACAACAAACCCATATACGATTGTCCGGAAAGTAGTAAATCAGAAGCATTGAGTAGGAATTTCAAGACTGCCGGCCAAATGATATATTTGTACCCTTCATCACAATTCTGTGAACTGTCCACAACTGTTCGCAAAATATTCTCCATTTCATGGGCCTGCCGTATTGCAGCTGAAGACATTTCTGAGCCATGATTCACGCGCACAAAAACTGTTCGTAGTGAGTCCAAGAGAAAGCTTCAATTAACTGTTGTCGAAAATAACACAGAAGATGACATGCGGTCAAACAATCAACTTGATGAATAGAACACATTATTCAAAATATTTTTGTAAGTCACAATTGTATGACTCACTCCCTTTCCATAATCCAAATTTGATTTTTCAGTGACATGCATTGCGAACTGACCGTAAACACAAAATAAAAAATAATTAACTAGTAGATAACAAGTATATATTTCCTAACAAAGTTGTATGTTCTTGCACCAACAGTACACATAGAATTTCTTTGTGACAAGATAAATGAAACAGCAAAATAACCAAGAGCAAAATAATCACATCTGAATGCGTAAGTATGACACTAATAAAATATAACTTTCTATTCTTTGTCTAGTTCTGCCCCATAATTAGTAAGCAACAAACCAAATATATCTCGCAGGATCACGCTTCATTGGTTTAGGAAGAACTGCTTGAGTACTGGTTTTAGTCAGTGCATTTAACCATGTACAACAGGCACGAACGGCTATACGTAGCGTTTCGTGCTCTTTATTTGAAGAGTAAGAAAGAGTAAGCGCATAAGATATAATCTACAATATATTACTAATTAAGTTATAGAATTTGAAAAAAGCAACAAATTAGTGTTAAGTACTGTGAATTTACTATTTACTTCTCGTTAAAACAACTGCAGAATTCCAAAATAAAAAGAAACGATAGCATAAACTTGAATAGTTATTTCAATATGAATGTAAGCGACTTCCAAGATTACAGCTATTTTACACTGTCTTCTCTTTCTAAATAAATTCATTTATTGCAAATTCCGATATAAATGTCAATATCAAATAACAATTTTAAAGAAACAGGGAAATCATAAAGTGAAAGTGGATCAAATAAATATTAAAGGAATTTCATTGAAAAATCGCCTAAATTCTATATATATATATATATATATATATATATATATATATATATAT